AAGATCCCATCTCCTTATGTCTTCCTTAATATTTTTGTTCAGAGGGAGATAGTTGAGTGAGAACAATTTTATCAAATCGAGTGGAATATGTACCCCTAGGTAACTAATTGATTCCGATTCCCATTTCAAATTGTATTTTTTCCTCACACTTGCAGAGGGGGTATGTTTGAAACAGAGGATTTGTGTTTTGGGAATATTAAGCTTGTAACCTGAGAATGAACCATAATGTTCCAAAAGCACAAATAGCCGAGCCAGAGAGTATTCGGGGTTGGATAAATAGACCAATACATCATCAGCAAACAACGAGATAACTTGTTCTCCCCCATTCATCACTATTCCTTTAATATTGTCGTCCTGTGTGATCCACTGGCTCAGGGGTTCAATAAAGATTGCAAACAAGGCGGGACTGAGTGGGCAGCCCTGTCTTGTTCCTCGTTCCAATTGGAAGGGATTGGACAAAGCTCCATTAATTTTAATTCTTACCGTTGGACTATCATAGAGGGCTTGTATTATTTTAATAAAATTATTATCAAATCCAAATCTATCCAAAACTCTGTATAGAAAGGACCAATTCACACAGTCAAATGCCTTCTCTGCATCCAGCCCCACTAGTACTGCTTCCAGATTATGTTTTTTTATATGGTTTATTACGTGTAAGGTCCTTCTGATACTGTCTTGAGTTTGTCTATCTCGTATAAAACCCGTCCGGTCAAGGCTGATTATTTGCGGTAACAATCCTTCTAGGCGTTTACAGAGTATAAAGGTAAAGATTTTGTAGTCCTGGTTCAACACGCTTATTGGTCTAAAATTACCACAATCAGACCTATCCTTCCCCTCCTTTGGAATTAGTGATATCACTGCTTCCCTCCACGAGGGAGGTATACTATGCCCTTTGAGTACCCAGTTGAAGGTGGACTGCAGCACAGGGACCAAGGAACCCGCCATGACTCTGTACCACTCCGAAGAGAATCCATCCGGGCCTGGCGTCTTATTTGGTTTAAGATGTGATATGGCTGAGCGGATTTCTTTCTCTGTTATTTCAGCTATCAAATACCTGCTTTGTTCGCTGTTTAATTTCGGCAGATTAATGTTTAGGAAAAAAATCTTCCATTTTGTCTCCATCAGTTTGAGGTTGAGAATACAATTTTTTATAAAATTTTTCAAAACAATCTTGTATTTCTTCTAATTTATAATGAACAGTATCGGTAACAGGATTCTTTATTTTATGAATTGAGGACTAATTACATTTTCAATGTCACAGATGTAATGTTAATTCTAAAAAATATTTGCTTTGATATTGTCTTTAGAAACATACCATAGGTTTACCTCCTCTAGTACTGTATACCGTATTGAATCGGTTTTAGTGTGTTTCACAAACTAAAGATGATTTGACTCCCGCCCTCAGTTTTCCGTTTGTGGCACTGTGGTTAAATGAACAAACTCTGTCACCAGATGGCGCTAAAAACGACCACACACACACTAAACCGCAATTCAACAATTAATAAAAGTGAAGGACTGTAACCTTTAGTGTGGCGAGAATGCGCTTCAGCAGTTATATCCATCCATCCATTCATCCAATTTCTAATCTACTTATCCTCAAGAGGGTAGCGGGTGTGCCGGAGCCTATCCGAGCTGTCCTCCGGCAATAGACGGGGTACACACCCTGAACTGCTTGCCAGCCAATTGCAGCACATACATAGACGAACAACCATTCGCGCTCACAATCACACCAAGGGACAATTTAGAGCATGTGTGTCAAACTCAAGGCCTGGGAGCCAGATCATTTTATGTGGTCCGCGAAAGCAAATCATGTTGTGTCAACTTGGTAAAATCTCTACCGAAATGTCAAATTGTCATGTGTAATAAATAACGTCGAGATTTTGCAATCATTTTGTTCCCGTTACACTCACTTGAACAATAATTGAACAAACTATTATATTACCTTGGCCGATTTCAAAACTAGTAATCTATTAATTTGTTGTGTGCAAGTAATAATTTTGTGGGTTCATTGTCATAATGGCCCCCCGAGGGAAGACGCAACTCCAAATTAGCCCACGACTAAAATGAGTTTGACACCGCTGATTTAGAGCGTTCAAAAACATACTGTGCATGTTTACGGAATGTGGAATGAAACCGAAGTACTTGGAGAGAACCCACGCAGGCACAGGGAAAACATGTAAACTCCACACAGGCAGGCCGAAGCTGGACTCGAACTCGAGACGTCTGCACTGTGAGGAGGACGTGCCAACTAGTAGAATACCTTGCCACCCGCGATAAATTGTGATTTAATAAAATTATTTGGATTGAAAAAAGTTCAAGCTCGTAGATATATTTTTTTTCCACATTGCATCGGTAACATTTCAAGATAAATGCAGATAAATGCTGATATTTTACATTTAGTCCCTTTTCATATTTCTCAGCTGGTTCAAACCAACTTCAAATTTTCATCTGCCTCATTTTCACAATAAATCTTCCCAATTTTTTTCACGTATACCATCCCATTCCAAATTATAAAACTTATTAAATCTAGTCAAAATTTAAATTTTTTGTCTCATTTTGAATATTTATATTACAGTCGCCTTTGAGACATTTTGTGGTATCACAGATACTGTTTTATATCGAATATAGACAATTTAATGTTACATGTGTTTTATTATTTCACAGGATTCTACAAATCAATGAGTGTGAGCCACCAGGAAAGAGTTCGTCAAAGATAGGAAATGTCTAAAAGTATGGAATCCGTGCAAAGCAAAATTGTCTGGCAGTTCCACAGCCACAAATTGTTAAATACTTCTCTGATATTGTCAGAGACAGGTACAGATGACGACTGACAGAACCCTTTCTACGATATTGTCATTAAAAACTGGCTATTGTTATTTTGGTGCATTTACAACAATAAATTGAACAACGATAATGTCTTTGTTGTGGGGAGCCGCATCACGGAAAGCGTTGAAAAAAGCCCTAACAGACAACCGGAGCTTTGCGGTCCTCTTACGGAGCCCGTAGTGGAAAAGGACTACATTTCCCAGTCCGCAGGAAGGAACTCTTGAGTCAAGCGCATGAACCTCTAGCCGCAACGGCGGCAG